TATCAAATACGTGACAGTGTTGCTTCCAAAGCAACTATAAATCATGACTGACTAATACAGCATACATGACATGGGCATGGTTTAAACAAACCCTCTTCTTTCTGGTACATGGGTCAGATTGAAAATGGTCCGTGGTAAACTGCTGTCATCAGTCTTGAGCTCACTAACCATTTGCTTTTTCCAATCAACAGCAAACCCTCTGGCTCAGAACCGACACCTAAGTCGCGCATCGCAGACCTGCCTCCTGCCAATCCTGATCACATCGGTGGATACAGACTCGCCACAGCCACTTTTGCTGGCATTGAAAACAAGTTTGGCCTTTATCTTCCCAAATTTAAGTCTCCTAGTATTGCTGTAGTTCAGCCAAAGGCAGCAGCAGCAACAGCTCAGTGAGGAGATGACTGTTGAATGTGGCAGAATGGTGCCCTGAAGAGAGAGGCCTGGGAGAGCAGCCCTGTAACGTATCCAGTCAGCTGCATGGTGCTGGCTGAGCTGAGGAGTCAGACTATTCTTTCTATATGACATATACATATATCTGTTTATAAAGTAATCATTGGCCCCGGGGGAGAAAACACAACGCAGTTTCAAGCTTTAGTCTTATGTGTTGAAATGTTTTTCTAAGCCTTGGCATGAATTTTAGTGTCCTAGATTCTGCACAGCTTGCACTTACAGTGACTGTACATATTGTACATCTTTGTACAGAGACACCTTGGCACTTCATCCCAACAAATCACATTTATAGAAATGTAATGCAGTTCTGAGTGGCTTGAAATGTACAGAATGTTTTGAAAGTGTTTTATTAAGAATCACATGAAAATAAATGTATTAAAATTAAATTCATTCTCTTATTGGTGACTTATAGAAGTAAAGCATCAATATTGGATGTATTTAATTCACAGTTTGTTTTCCATTCTGGAATAAAAAGGTATTTGCTGATAAAAGGCATAATGAGACCTAGTGCTGACACCATTGAATAATAGGTACTTTGGAAAGATGCATGCCAGTGGATGCTGGAGGACCAGGCTGATGACTTGTGTGTGCTGATGTGTTTCCATTTGTATTTAATGTGTGTGTAGATAATCCTCTGTTCATCAATCAAAAGGCATTTCCTAGACAGCCTCTCTCTTGTCAGCGCGCATATGGAAACAGGAATGTCTCCAGCAGTACTGGCTTAGTTTTGCCTTCCTCTGACACAGCAAGGGTGAGGGCCAGGCTTTGGAAAGAGTAAAGAATACTTTGGCAGTTTCCCTTCATATGGATATGATTCCAATCAAAAATAAAATCAACACCAAAATGTATGCATGGAGTTGGATTTTCCTTCATAAATATACCGATATTGCTTTTTGTTCTGATGCAGTACTGATTCCAAGTATCTCGTGATCAGGTTTGCCCTTGCTGTCACCTTTATAGGAAACAGTTTGGGTTGGAAGGGCTACAGTGGAGAGAAGGGAGGGAAGGAGAGAGAGAAGAAAGCTCCATCATGGGATTTAGTTCAGTCTGGGTTCTTATGAATCCAAATGAAAACTACTTATTCCAGAAGTCAGTCACCAAAGGTGTGATTACTAATTTGAATCTGAACATGCATCTTGACAGCCACATCCACACATTGCTATGGTTATGATTTGATATGTAGCACCAGAGTTTTACTGTAGCAAAGTGCTTTGGGGCCAGTGAGCCAAGATATGAGAATGTATGCAAATTATTTCCAAGGGGCGAGTCTGGAGAGAGAGCAAGTCACTTAGTATCCAACACAGCGCTCATCAATTGATGACTGACAGCACCTGTAGCCACAACTATAGGCTCTCCCAAGGCTCCCCAGGAACAAAAGAATTTGCTTTGAAAGCAAGTTATTTCCAAATGTATAAGGTTGTTTTTATTAGAATGGGGCAAATAATACAGTTGTTCAGCTACTACCACTTGTTAAAAATACACAAATAATAAATTGATACATTCTTACACAAGATTCACCTGATGTATATGTATAGAGCGTAGGATATGGAAGTGCCCTATTTTCTCTCCACCACTGCTAACAGTTCAGAGTATAAATTTGTAATGTATTTCATACATCTATATAAACATGTTGTTAGGTGCTGTTGAGTTGGTTCCGACTCATAGCAACCCTATGCACAACAGAACAAAACACTGCCCAGTCTTGCTCCATCCTCACAATCGTTGTTATGCTTGAGCCCGTTGTTGCAGCCAATGTGTCAGTCCATCTCCTTGAGGGTCTTCCTCTCTTTTGCTGACCCTCTGCTTTACCAAGCAAGGAGCACTGGTGGCACAGTGGTTAAGAGATTGGCTACTAACCAAAAGGTCGACAGTTCGAATCCACAGGCAGCTCTTCGGAAACGCTGTGGGCAGTTCTATTCGGTCCTACGGTGTCGATGAGCTGGGATCCACTAGACGGCAGTGGGTTTGGTTTTTTTTGGTTTTACCAAGCATGATGTTCTTCTCCAGGGACTGGTTCTTTCTGGTAACATGTCCAAAGTACATAGAAATATAGGTACATATTTATATTTTAAAAGCAGGATTATGCTATGTATATGGGTTGTTCTGTGACTTGCTTTTGTTCAACTTAGTATGTCAGTTCATAAAGATTTATCTTATTTTTTAATAGCTGTATAGTATTCCATTGTATAGATTCTGATACTTTTCAGAAATACTCCTTTATTGACATTTATTCATTTTTTTCACTATTGTGAACAATGCTATAGGAATGGAGCCCTGGTGGCTCAGTGGTTAAGAGCTCAGCCTCTAACCAAAAGGTCTGCAGTTTCGAATCCACCAGCCACTCCTTGGAAACCCTGTGGGGCAAGTCTGCTCTGTCCTATAGGATCGCTGTGAGTCAGAATCGACTCGATGACAACTTTTTTTTTTTTTTTATAGGAATGGTAAACATCCTCATACATATATCTTGAGTACGTGTGCTAGTATTTCATTAGGATAGAAATTTAGAATTGGAATTGATAATTCACAGGATGTATGGGTTTTACATTTTGATAGATATTGGCCACATTGTTCTTCAAAAAGGCTTTACTAGTTTACTTTCCTACTGGCAGCATATGAGAATGCCTATTTCTTTGCAACCTCACCAAAAATGAATATTATCAGTCTCTAACATTTGAGGCAGGTCATGATAGGGGATCACGGTTGTTTTAATTTTCATTTGTCTAGTTACTAATCAAGTTGAATGTTTTTTCATTTTTACTAGCCTTTGTATATTTTCCTTTTATCATGGAATATAAAGTACATGAAACATATATGTATACACACATATATGTTTGTATATGCGTATATGTTTTTAAACAAATAATCATGAAGTGAACACCCATGTTACCACTCAAGTCAAGAAATAGAACTTTGTCGGCACTTCAAGAGTTCCTCATATGCTCCTCCCCATCATAACTTTCTCCTCAACACCATCCCTACTCTTCATTTCTTTCTCTTTTTTTTGTGCTTTAGGTGAAAGCGTACAGCTCAAGTTAATTTCTCATTCAAAAATTTATACACATCCTGTTTTGTGACATCGGTTGCAATCCCCACAATGTGACAGCACACTCCTCTCCACCCTGGGTTCCCTGTGTCCATTCGCCCAGTTCCTGTCTCTTTCTGCCTCCTAGTCTTAGTTTGACCACACACACACACACACACACACACACACACCCACACACCCCTACACACCCCTAATGGCTAAACTGAGTTCCTTTTTTAAAATTTATACAAATCAAATTGTATCGTATATATTCTTTGCAGACTTTTTCTTTTGCTAAACATTGTAAGATTTATCCATATTATTGTATGTACCTGTAGTTTGTTTATTTCATTGTATGAATATACTACAACTTTTCCATTTCACTCTTGATGGACATTTGGGTTGTTTCCAATTTGGGGATATTACAAATAGTGCTGCCATGGCTATTTTGTACCTGTATTCTGGAGTATGCTTTTTTTTGAGGATATACACCTACGTGTAGAATTACAGAATCACAGGGGACATTATATTCAACTTTTCCAAACTGTTTTCCAGAGGTTCTTATACTGATTTATATTTTTCCCAGGGTGCATTGTCCTGCTGTTTAATTTTTGCCAAAGTAGTGCGTATATAATGGTAGCGTTGTGATTTTAATTAGCATTTTCCTTATAACAGCACCTTTCATTTATTGGCCTTTTGGATTTCATCTTCGGGGAATGAAATAAGTGTTAAAAGTCTTTTGTCCATTTTTTCTTTTACTGATTTTCAAGGGTTCTGTATATATTCTTGATAACTTTCTGAGTTATTTGTGTTGAAAAATCTTTCCCACACTGTGGCTTGCCTTTTCACAATGTTTCTGAGATGTTAAAATTTTAATTTTAATAATTTCATATGTATCAATTTTTCCTTTAAGTTATCACTTTTTGTGTTTTGTTCTTTAAAAAATTATTCTCTTCCAAGTCATGAAGATAGTGCATATTTTCCTCTTAAATCCATTGTAGTTTTGCCGATCATATTTAGATTTCATCCCACTTGGAACTGTCTTTGGCATATAATATAGCATGAGGTTTTTTGTTTTGTTTTGGTTTGGTTTTGCTACTTCTTCCTTTTTATATGGCTAGTCTGTTGTCCTAGCACTGTTTATTTAAAAGACCTTCTTTCCCTATTGCTTCACATTGCCTTCTCTGTCATATTAAGTGTCAGTATAGTCAAGTGTCTATTTCTGGACTCTCTATTTTGTTATATTGTTCATTTCCTGTGCCAATATACTTTCTCTTAAAATAGCTTTTAAAAAGTTTTGATATATAGTACAGTAAGTTCTTTCACCTTGTGTAAGAGCTTGTGGCTTTTCTGGGTTCTTTGCTCTTCCATATAAATTTTACAATTAGCTTGTCAAGTTCCATCCAAAAAAGAAACCACACTGGGATTTTTATCTGAGTTGCAATGAATCTATAAGCCATTTTGGGAAAATTTATTCGTATAGTATTGGGCCTTCCAGTCCATGAACATGATAGATCTCTATTTAAGTCTTTTAATGTCTAAATAAAATTTTATAATCACCGAAGAGGTCTTGTACATCTTTTGTTATATAGATTCCTAGGTATCTTCTATATTTGGATGCTATTGTAAGTTATATCTTTTTAAAAATATCATTTCTGGTATGCAGGAATATAATTGAATTTTTTCTCCACTTTTTTTTCTCAAAAATTTCAAACTTAAAGAAAAGTTTAAAGAGGTAAAATGAACCCCTGAATCCCTTTCACTTAAGCTCACTTATTTATATTTTTCCACATTTACTTTATGTATATAAACACACATTTATTTTTTACTGAATTATTTGAAAATAAGTTGCAGATACCATGGTACTTCATCCCTAAATTTTTTAGAATACATCTCTGAAGAATAAGGACATTCTGCAACTGAATACCATCATCATACATTTAAAAAAATTAACAAGAACTTCTTCATATCATCTGCTATTCAGTCTGAATTCAAACTTCCCCAACTGCTCCAAAAATCTTTGATTTTTGGATCCAGATTCTAATCAAGATGGATGTGTTATGCTGGTTTTGTGCATGTTTAGTCTCTTTCCTTCTAGAATAATCCCTGTATTATAATCGTGCCTATTCATTTGTCTTTTCATAGCATGTCTTTTTGGAAGAGTGTAAGCCAGTTGTCTTGTAGAAAGTCCCAAATTCTTCATCTGATTGTTTCTTTGTTGTCTGTTACAGTATTATAAAGTGGAAGTTAGATCTAATGGTGCAGTTGTTTTTTTTTAACAGCTTTATTGAGGTGTTCTTTACAGAGCTGTGAAACTATCCCCACAATCCAATTTTAGTACATTTCTGTCACTCTTCCCCCCAAAGTAAAATGTATCATTTAACATTCCTGTCAGTAATGTATGAGTACTACAGTTTCTCCACATCCCCATCAATACTTTATTGTCCTTTTTTTCAAATGCTTTTTCTGTGTCTATTGAGATGATCATTTGGGTTTTATCCTTTACTTTATTAATACGCAGTATTACTTGTTTTTCAGATGTTAAACCAACCTTGCATTCCAGGGGTAAATCTCATTTGGTCATAGTGTGTAATCCTTTTTATATGTTGCTGGGTTCAGTTTGCTAATATTGAGAATTTTTGTATCTATATTCATGAGGAATAGTGGTCTGTAGTTTTTTTTTTTCCTTGTGATATCTTTGTCTGGCTTTGATATAAGGATAATACTGGCCTTGTAGAAAGAGTGGAAAGTCTCCCTCCTATTACTGGAAAAGTTTGTAAAGGATTAGTTTTTTTTTTTTTTTTTAAATATTTTATAGAACTCACCAGTGAAGCCATATGGGCCTGGACTTTTTTTATTTGTGAAGATTTTTAATTATTAATTCAATTTCTTTACTTGTTAGAGGTCTGTTTAGACTTTTGATTTTTTTCTTGAGTCAGTTTTGGTAATTTGTGTTTTTAAGAATGTTTACTTCATCTAAGTTGTCTAATTTGTCTAATAAAGTGTTCATAGTATTTCCTTATAATTCTTTTGATTTTTCTAAGATTGGTAGTGATGTCCCCTCTTTTATTCCTGATTCTGGTAATTTGCATCTACTCTATTTTCTTTGTTTTAGTCTAGCTAAAGTTTGCAATCTTGTTGATCTTTTCAAAGAACTGACTGTAGGTTTCACTGATTCTTTCCCCACTATTTTTGACAAAGGTATATACTGTATTGACTTTTTTTTAAATTCTTAACTACTTCTGGAAAAATTCAAACATGTAAAAAGTAGAATAGTATAATAAACTACAATTTATCCATCACCCAGCTGCAATAATTATCAACTCATGGCCAATCCTGTTTCAACTATACTTCACCCACTTCTCTCCCACCCTCATTGGATTATTTGGAGACAAACCCGAGATATCATATTATCCAGAAATATTCTTGTATGTATCTCTAAATGGTAGGGACTCTTTTCCTAAAAAGCATAGCACACCACCATTTCCCCAGCTGACACACACACAGAATTTGTTTGAATCAGGTTTGGATATGCCAGTATTTTGCTCTGGATTTAGGCCTCCTTTCTCCTCTTGAGGTTAAGCAAATACCTGGGGACATTCCCTCCTTCTACAGCTCCTGTGGCTTCAGCCACTGTTGTTTTATGTTGGGCATAGATACCCCTCTGCCT